AAAATCCAAATAAACGCTATATGAAACGAATTCATTATCATTATGAATGAGAACTGAGACAAAGTTGAAATGGTCAAAAGCTGTGAAAAGACCATTTTGTTATGTCCCATTTTAGATAACTCACATTGTTACCGGTACTTGCAGCCAAACACTAAAATAAAGTAAGCGATACATTGCATAAAGTCAATTTCTAAAGAGTTCAAAACTGTCCTTGGCAAGCAGACGCCACTTTCCTGAAATCCTTTTACTCCCGCACATTTCAGAGGAACACGTGTAAACTGTTTGTCCTCGCATAAAAGTAATAGAGCTTGGGCTGACTCCGGTTCAGATCCCGTAAGCACAGTCCTGCGTCGCTCCAGCTTTAGGGAAAGTGGGGCGTTGACAGATTTTTGGAGCGCTCACAATCCGACAGGCCAAGAGGCATTATCCAACCTGAGGAAGCCACCATGGCATTATGACCATGTGTGTGTGTGTGTGTGTGTATGTGTGCGTGTGTGAGTGAGTGTGTGAGAGAGAGAACCTTTATTCATCTCACAGTGGGGACATTTTTGTGTTGCAGTGCACTTACACAGATACAAGTAACAGCGTACAAGGAGAACACAAAATATGCAGAAATAAGTAGTAAGTAGTGTGCACGTGTGTGTGTGTGTGTGAGAGAGAGAGAGAGAATGTGTGTGTTTGTATGTATTTGTGTGTGTGTGTATCTACTATATTTGGTGTGTATGTGCGCGTGTGAGAGAGCGTGTGTGTGTGTATCTGCTGTATTTGGTATGTATGTGCGTGTGTGAGAGAGAGAGCATGTGTGTATGCGTGCATGCGTGTGTGTGTGTGTGTGTGTGTATGTGTGTGCATCTGCTATAATTGGTCAAAAAAAGACTACATCAAAAGGCGGGTTAAATGCCAAGATGTATAGACACAAACGCTAAGGCTGCAAGGAAAGTGTTTTAGCTCAGTGGGAATGAGGCGTAATAGATTCTGAAAATAAAATTGCTGAACGAAAGCATGTAAAAACAGTGTGGATGTTACAGAGAGGAACAAGGGCATCTACGAGTGTAAGAGAACGTGCATGAATCACTCTATAAAGTGTATACATGACAAGGCAACACAACTGTAAGCTGGTGAAACGTGCGAGGAGGCGATGTTGCATGTTATGTCCCTGTTAGAGAGAGCAGAGAGGGGGGGCACAGATCAGGTAGATTTACAGTGGCACTCAGCAGCTGTGTTCTTCACTTTTGCCTCGGGGTTTTCACTGTCACAGGGACTCTCACTCCCTGCACACTTCCTCAACAGCCCACGGTAAAAACAGACACCTGATAGTCCTCAGCTTCTGACTTCTAATAACATTAAAATCCTGGCTTAGTTTTTGGGGGGAGGTAGTCACTGCGTTAGTTATCGTCGATTTGAAAACTGATTTACATATTTTGGTTTTAGGTCGAACATTTATTACACCATAAATGCAAATCCTGCGAAATAGCATACATAAGAGAAACAGGATCTGCTTAATACTGTACCTAAGGAAATTAAGGCAAAAAAATTAACATGAGGAAGACACACAAGGACAAAGAAAGAGAAAGGTAATTGGATGGGAAAAAGGCAAAAGTGAAAGCACTGGATAAAGAATGCCGTTGAGATCAGAGAGCAGGGGAACACCATCAACCGGGACGACGGAGCCTTCCTCCTGTCGCACATATGGGGCACCCTCCTCTGGAGACCACTGGACGAGAGGAGGGCGTGGTCGGTCTGTATGATATGTCAGGTCAATCAGGCTGACCACGCCACTCAGGAAGTAGCATCGGCTGAGAAATGACACGTCACACGCAGGTGACCGTTCTGAAGATTCCCCGAGGTATTCTCACTATTTTCTCTCAAGGTTTTGTAAAGTCCTCCAAGATAATATGTTGTGTTTAGGGCTATACTGTACAAGAATATTTTTGAATTGAATTGAATCATTAAGATGTTAAGAATGTAATATTCTCAAGCAGTAGCTATTTTAACCAAAAGTTAAAAGCAGAAGTAAAATCAACAATCTTGTAATAATTATACCAATAATATACCGATGTTTTCTTCTTCATGCTTTCATGGCAGTCCTTACAGTGAGCGTGCTGCTTCTCCACAAACCTGGCTTGTTGTCCTTGATAAGGGCCTTTTCCTGTTTGTTTACATGGAAAAGTTGCTTTGGCAGAAGAGTAATGTTTTTTTTACTTTTTCCATAGAAATAAGGATGTAATTTTCCACCCCTATATGTACTTTCCTTAAACAGTAATAACACCATTTTGGAAAACATGTCATATAAGACTCTTTCTTCAGGTTCAGGTTGTATCTACTGTCAAGTGAGAGCTATTGATTATTGATATCTTAGTAATTATATAACCTTTAAACTTGTTTACTTTTGACACATCATCCTTATTGCGTCTTGGATTACATTGAGTCATTTTCAGTGCGTGCGACACTGTGTGAAACAAGTGCCACATTTAGTTACGTGTGCTACAATTTCACAAGGTTTTAAATCATAAAAGATAACAGCTCAAACAAGGAAATGTATTTATATGAATTGATATTAAACAAACCGTGGCCATGTGACTCCCAAATACCACTGTGTTAATGAAGTTTAAGATAAGGTATAATTTCTGTCCCTCTGCAGAGTTTTGTCTTATGCATTTGACCCATCCTTTAATGCCACTAGGGCAACCTGTCAGCACCCTGGAAACATAGACATATACTAGTGTTAACCTTAATGCGGAAGAAGTCGAGTAGAGCGAGCTCAAACAGACTTTTTTGAGCCGGAATACGGGGCAAAATGCATGCAAGCTAGTTACCAAGAGCCAACCAGGAGCCGCGCCGGTCTGGTAATGGCTCCTGATTGGTCAGAGGTTTGAGTTCATATCTGGATTTACAAAGACAATATCGCAATATAAAAAACAGGATCAAAGAGAGTGCCAAACTATGGATTTTAAAATATTTCAATAGTGAGTGTGAAAAGAGAGGTAGACTTCGCACATCTCTTCTCTGACAGGTGCGTAGGAGTGGGCGCGCACTAGGTGGCCAAACATGAAAGAAAGGATGACACCCGCACACTGTCCAACTTGCAAACACCAGTGGTTTATTAGCAACGTTTCGGCCACAGGCCTTCCTCAGGCAAAATATACAAATAGAGGTTGGGAGCCATCTCAATAGTGAGTGTGACAAAAGCGGTTACTGAGTTTACTTTTCAATGCCAGTAAAACATCGACCAAGATAAAATTGATAAATAAAATTCCCTACTGGGCTTCATTGAGCTAGCGGGTTAGCATCTTCATACAGTCTTTTCCCTGGACCCATGCTAATGCACGGTTAAGTCAGGATTATTGAAGCTCGAGGTTTTGTATCTATGCTGCATGTTTTGAGTGGTGGGGGAAACCGGAGCGCCTGGAGGAATCACAACCAGACTCGGTGGCATGCAAACTCAGGAAAAGCCAAGTAATAATGAGGAATCAAATAAAAGACATTCATAAAGACAAAAGTAGCACAATAAGTTAAACTTCTGCCTTTTGAGTGGCTTCTCAACATCTTTACCGCATCAAAAAAATTGTTGTGCAGCTTTTCACGTGCGGTGTAGTAACTCTAAATGGGGGAGTGATTTTGACCCTTGTAATTTATGACTATATGGTTGCACAAACTCCTCCGTGGGACAGCTGCAGTGTGGGTACAGGCACATCAGAGCACTGAGTCAACAAGCTCCAGCCAAAGCAAGTTCATCATTTTGCAGTAAATTACACACAAATGAAATCAATGCGAGACAGATCACTGGGGAAAAAAATGCTAACACTCTTGCCAATATATGTTGAAGGGATAGAAGAAATTGTGTGTAACTATGTGACGAGATGTGAAAGTGGGCTCTTTAAACAAACATGTAAGGGAAAGTGAGTGTGTCCAATGCAATCTTTCTAAAAGCTGCCCTCAGAGCTCTCAGGTTCAGGCCCCTCCCCCACAACTAATGGTTAAATAAACAGGCCTGGTGTCTGCCTGCTGTGGGAACGGGCTGAGGGCACTGCTGCTGCGACTGTCCAGGAAAGCAGAGAGGAGACAGACACGGACAGACACCAGAAAGACGCCGTAAAAAATGGGACATCAAACAGGAGCGTGTAAGGTTCAGTGCAGGCCAGTACAACTTGTGGCCCAGGGGCTAAAACAGGCCGCCTCAGACATTCCTATGGTCCACATTTCAAAATTAATTCTGTGTTCAAATTATGTGATGAAAAAATCTTTTTTAAACCTGCAAACCATTCTTATACATTTAGATGGCCAGAACCAGGCCTTATCTAATTGTATAAGAATGGTTTTGATACTACGTCGGTACGATGTTTATTAACACTAGAACTCCCAGAGCAGTCAAGTTGACGGCTTTTGATTTGGAAGTGTAATGACTTTTTCCATATCTATATGTAGTTTATATTTATGTAATTATGTCATGAAATTAAACGATAATAATAACTAGTTAGTAGTTCTGTTGTTAACTTTGCTCATTGAATGTGAAAAGTAGCCATTTTGGTTTCTTGATAACCAACTGTCAATGGCAGTTAAAGCCCCTTTTTCATGGTGCTGGTTCTGGACTAGCCCTGCACTGGTCTTAGTTCAGGCCAGGGGTGTCAAACAGGTCCTCAACAAGCTGGTTCATTCAGGTTTTCATTCCAACCAAGCAGGAGCACACCTGACTCCACCCATTTCCTCAAGTGAGTTCAGTCTGAACCTGAAGACTTAAGGACATGGTTGAAGTCTGCTATGCTCCTTCTTGGTTGGAATGAAAACCTGTAAATGGTCCTTTCTGCAAACAGTTTGACACCTCTGGTTTTGAGGCCATATCTCTGTAATTCCAGGACCAATGCACATGAAAGTTAAACTGTCACAAAGTTCTTCGTCTTCTATGTCAGTATGTAACTATTGTCACGGCCCCTCCCTGCTTGACAGATGCGTCCCTTTTCAGTCAGGGAGGACCCAGTGATTGGTCCCACCTGTGCTTACATATGTGTCTCACACACCTCTCTCTGCTCTGCTCCCTCCAGGTACTGGACACTTATATCTTTGTTTGTTGGTTTCACACTCAGACATGTGCACTTATTTTCATTCACTGACTTACACACGTTCCATTGTTTACATACCCTTCAAAAGTTGCTTATTCTCTATAAAGTTGTATTGGCACTTCCTACGGAAATAGAATTCTAGAACATGAATGTGACCTATTGACCATCAGTCTGAAATGATACATTGTAGTAACTTGGCCCAAAATATAAAATCACATTTGTTTTAAATCAGTGTTTCAAACATTGTAGAGCCACTTTGAGCAAATAGCAGGTATCAGACATATTCCTAAAAACATATTTTGTCAGTTTCTTTAGGTTTACGGATGATTCACACAGAGAGCAGCCATTCAGTAAACCTATAGTCTTTCTTTGACAAATTAGGACAACTTATCCTAAATACATGGGCAATTAGGCAAATCTTTTAGCTGAATCAAGTAGAACCAGACCTGTAAAATTCCAGCAGCCATTACAGTTTGTCAATGTTTAAAATAGTGTTGACCACATCAACCCAATGCTGCCCAAACAACAAGGGTGGAGACCGCTGCAGCCTGGCTCCTCTCCCAGTGAGGTCCTGGGACAGTGGGTCAGCTGGGTCACCGTCTGCACTGGGCAAATGTTATAATTATGACCAAGTGGTGAAGCATGCAACTAAATTTAAGCCGTAAAAGAGGAGCCGAGCGTTGCACTTCCGGGTTTGGAGAAAAACCATCAAGGTGGAATGTGTTTTTGGAGCCAGAAATCAGACTACTTGTAAGGGAGGACATGAAGTGCTTCTGTCTGCTTTATAGCAATAATCTATAGCCCCGTTTCCATCAGCCCTACTTGGCTCTACTCTACACGTCTCTACTTTACTTGTGAGCGCTAGTGATGTCTTTACTATCTGCTTGGCCCTGATATGCAGGTCGAGCTGGTACTAAAACTGTGATGGAAAATCAGTCAGAAATTGCTCAAATTTGCCATAATGTATCTTAATATGAGCACACTTTGACTTCCTTAAAACAAGATTGGCAAATGGGACATGCAAAATGATCTTGTCTCCCTTGGAATGATAAAATAAAGCAATAGTTGTTGAAATAAGACAAAACGATCTTGTTTTAACACTCACTTTTTTTTTTATTCAAGCCTTTATTACCTCCTAGTGTACTGTTTGTGTTGATCAATTTCACAGTGACAATTGTTTTTTGTACTCTTTTAGCTTGCTTTATTAATGTACAACTTTGCAAATGCATTCTATGGGGTTTTACAGCAAACGGGAAGTAACATTTATCTGAATCTGAATCTAAAGTGTTCTGACTGACAGTGATGGCGGGATTGCTGCTGGAGGAGTGCCCAGGCTACCAAAGAATTTGCCCGGATACTAGTTTTTTGTGGCTAGGTTTCTAGGATACTATACCAGTTACTAAAGCGTAATGGAAACGCTACCAGGTAGAGAAGAGCCGAGAAGAGTAGGGTAGAGTAGGGTAGAGTAGGGTAGAGTAGAGTTGAGTAGAGTAGAGTAGAGTAGGGCCAAGTATTGCAGGTGTAATGTATCTGAATTGCCTTTTTAATCTATTTTGATGAATTTTGATCTAGGTTTTTCATTTCACTTGTGAAGCACAGTGGAATGCCTTGTACACAAATTTCTATACAAAAAACCATTGATTAATTGATTGATTGATTGAATATGCTTTTATGTTTGTACTGGGTTCTTATACGTTTGTCTCTGACGCACGCTGGGTACTTTCGCACAAACGCAATCTAATTTGAATCTGATATTAATATGAATTTGAAAACACTATCAAAGATTTGACAGAGAAATATCTTTATTACCAGTCCTATATTGTATCTATTAATATGTGAACATGGTAATTAGATTAGCAGCATTTTCATAAAAGGAATAAATAAATAAGCTGAAAAAGGCTCACAAACTACAACTCCAATTTGCATCCACTCCAGGCCCATCATCTACCCATGACAATCAAACCAAACTTGTTCCGAAGTTGGACAGAAAGAACTAGGCCATTGTGGTGAATGGTGGCAGTGTTATGTCTTTGATGTCCGAACGCTCACGCTCGATTGGTCAGCTCCAAACAAGCCCAGTCCGACACAGCCAACACGCAAAGTCCCTCACACAAGCCCCACAAGTCATTTCCCTTCACAGCCCAATAAATCATTCAAAATAATTTGTTCTACTTTTAATATTATCCCATTAAAACCACTGTATTAAAGCTTGCCAATAAAACTGTTAGGCATATTTGCATGTACAGTACGCATCGTTGGCATTATTTTTTCATCTCCCATAAGGCCGCTCTGCAAATTAAATAAGACGTTCTGCTCTATTTGTATATATTTGTAAATGCCTCGCTCGCAGGTAAAACAACTTCTTATATGTTGCTAAGAGAAAAAAAATTACAAATTGCTCAAGCTATCTCTGGAGACTGTGTTCAAAAGGGTGCACGCTCACTTACAACACAAGGCTCATGTTTGCAGACGGTCTCCCCAGTGGCCCGCCTTTCTGGGCTAATAACACATAAACAACAGTCTGTGGAGAAGCGGCTGCTCACTGGGAGAAAACATGCATACACAAACATGCATTTATGTAATGGGAGGCCGCCTACAGATGCTATGCCAAAGGGGGAAGCTGCGTATTTGAACAAGGCACGGCGCAAGAACACGATTTATATTATATTCATTACAAATTAGGAATGCACGGCCGAGATTTTTCATGTAAGATTCCGATTTTTGTATTAGCTGATTTGTGTTTATTGTATGCGTTTTTTCAAAGAATGATACTAGTCAAACAGCGCTGCAGAAAGTGATGGAAAATAAGTCAAAATTTGTTCAACTTCGCCTGACTGCATTAAAACAAGATTTGCCAATGGGAAAAGCATAATGTGATTGTTTTAAATAGATACAAGAAATGTGTCCCTTGGAAAAAGAAAATAAAGCAAGAGTTTTTTAAATAATACTAAATGGCTTTGTCCCAAATCTTGTTTTAAGACAGTCAGAATGTGTTAAGATAAAAACCACTTGTTTTAAGCAACTACAATTTCTCATCATCATAATTTTTTGGCAGATGGACAACCAATGAAAAGTTGATGGAGAGAAACTGGTTTATTCAATTTAAATCAGTGTATTGTGTACAGCCAAAAACAGCAGATCAGAAATTTGAACAATTAGAACACAAAAGAATACAACAATATTTATCGTTATTTAACCAGAATTGTCCCACTGTTGTCCAAAATTTGATTTCAGAATCTCCTTTTGAGTAGTGTCCGTAAATCTAGATACTTTGGTCTTAAATATGTGCCGATACTCGACATAAACTGTAAAAAATGAAGTGAACACAGCCTTTTTACCTGCTCAAACCACAAATTAAATGAAAATAGTTATGTTCTGGGTTAAAGTCAGTCAGTAAATAGTCTTAATATCTGGTAGCAGTTAGTCTAATAGTCTTATCAAACATTGCAAGGCCCACAGGCTAACCTGATAGAACCCATCACCAATATGATATTCCATACCAGTATAAGGTATATTTTATACTTTACTTTACTGTGTTGTCCAGTAATGTAACAATGGTGAAAGACAATATGGGACAAAGTGAGAGTGACAGTGGACACATGTGGTTCTATATTCCACATTCTGACATTCTGTACCATTCCATCCTCATTCACTCTTAGAACAACTATGGAACAGAAAATAAATTCAATATTGTATCCTTTGGAGGTCTACGCATTTTACGACTGCATTAACACATATCGGCAGCTTCCTCTCTGGAACCAGACCAGACATATGGCATGTGCGCACTACAAAAATTGATGAAAAATTAGTCAAAAATTTCTCAAATTTGGCAAAACATATTTTAATTGGAGCACCTTTTGACTGCCTTAAAACAAGATTTGCCACCGGGACAAAGCAGAAAGATCTTGTTCAAAAGGATACAAGGAATGTCTCGCTTGGAATGATAAAATAAAGCAACAATTCTTGAAATATTACTGAATGGCTTTGTCCCATTGGAGAATCTTGTTTTAAGGCAGTCAGAATGTGCTCTTATTGAGACAAAAACCACTAGATTCAAGCCGTTATTATCTCACATTTGACCATTTTTTGCAGTGTGAGATGTGTTCTGGATGCGAGACGCGGCCCCAGCTCAGGTACACGTGGAGGCAGCGTGCCGCTCTGCAGGTGCCGAGCGCGCAGACCGCTTATGCTAGCACAGCACAGCGCAGCACATTCCCGGTGTCAGTGGTTCCTGGTGAAATACGCTCTTTATGGAGGGTGTGGTGCGCGGAGGTGAGCCCAGAACAATGATCATGTTTGTTTGTTGTCGTTTTATTGGCCTTGATAATTGGCGCCCCTCCCCTTCCTCTGCTTAAGGATGTCTCCAGAAACGCCGCGTAGCACACATGCACACACTTACACCGCCGCAAGGAATGCTCCCAACAGCCACACGTGCGTTTGGTTTATCAAAACTGTCACTCGAGCACATTCAATACTCGACTTGACCTCATCAGTCTAGGCAGACACAAAGAGCGAGGGTTCAACTTATTATTGGGATATTTGTAGATACATGTGCACTATATTAGAACAGTTATGAGGTTATTTGTTCAGTGAATCTGGTTTGGAGTTACTTTAAAATGGGATAAAACAGTCAAAATCCACCATTTAACCATGTTTTAATCATTTTCCCCCATCCTTTCCAGTGTTACAGACTATCATCTAGCATATAGCAGGAGCATGTTTTTTCTTCCTTAAAGCTGGGTGACCTATTTTTTCAATCTTTCATTTATTTTTTGTATTTGTCTGTGTCTTGTGGTGTCTTTACCGTTTTTTGTATGGACCTTGAGTCTGGAATAAAGATGTATTATTATTTTATATGATGTAATCCATGTAACTAGTTTCTCGCTCTTTGCCTCTTTTTAGTTGTATCAAGGACTTTAGATCAGCTTTTCAGAAAGAAATTTAACAAGAGCTTAGGGGACCAAATTCCATAAGTATGTTTATGTCCAATTCAGTGTCTCAGATTATTGTTAACCTTACACTCTATTGCATCAACAAGGAATGACTCCGAAAAAAAAACACCATCTTGCAGAGAGGGGAACCTTAAGGTGAGAGGCGAGAGTGCTAACCACTCAGACACCATGTGAAATCGTGACCTTCTCAAGTTTTTGCTCTGTTCGACATGAGCAGAAGATGTAGCATTTTCCCCAAAACTGTTCTTTGACTGATGAGAAACGTAGGACATATTTAGCATTCGTCCTTTCCCAGCAAAAACAGGCCGTCCTAAATCTTACACTGACACCTGACATTTAATTATGCAACGTTTATAAGTAGTTTGCTCATTAATGCCATTTCGCTATGACTACTACTTTTGAGCTCTGTATAGCACTTATAAAATCACTATAAGCATCTGTAAATACTCAAATAGTGACTTATTCTGAACCAAGTGCAATCATAGCTTTTTTTAAATTTATTGTATTATCTGATTATTATATTTTATTATCTATTTTGGGACCCCATTTACAGGCTTTGCAGCACTTTTTGGGGGTCTATTTTTCACAACTGTCACAAAGATATACACCATTTTTTTTATGCATTTGATATTTGTGGTGCTGTGAAAATATAAGACATAAAAATGAATAATTGTAAAAACTATATCCAAAATAATATCCTAAGTGCTCTTATTTTCTTCTTTTATTGTGTTGTAATTTGTGCAACGATGACAAAGACATTTTCTTACTGTGGGATGAAAAAAGGAAAATCTTATTGTGTTTTTTGTTGTATAAACTAAATGCGCTGAACTGAACTGAACTGTGCTGAACTAGTGGGAGCACACGGTTGTGCGTCAGTGTGAGTGTTGTGAGTGGTGCTTTGTGAGGCAGAGGTAAAGACAGGCTCCAGCACATCACTGAACATGTTGAAGCAGCAGCTCTGGGAGTTGGCAGAGTCTGGGGAGAGACGCTGCCCCCCAGAGAGAGAAGCCCAGGATCAACCAGGGCACAATCTACTGCACCACCTACTGCACCACCTACTGCACCAGCCACCTACTGCACCACCTACTGCACCAGCAACCTACTGCACCAGCAACCTACTGCACCAGCCACCTACTGCACCAGCCACCTACTGCACCACCTACTGCACCAGCAACCTACTGCACCAGCAACCTACTGCACCAGCCACCTACTGCACCAGCAACCTACTGCACCAGCAACCTACTGCACCACCTACTGCACCAGCAACCTACTGCACCAGCAACCTACTGCACCAGCCACCTACTGCACCAGCCACCTACTGCACCAGCAACCTACTGCACCAGCCACCTACTGCACCAGCAACCTACTGCACCAGCCACCTACTGCACCAGCAACCTACTGCACCACCTACTGCACCAGCCACCTACTGCACCAGCAACCTACTGCACCACCTACTGCACCACCTACTGCACCAGCCACTTACTGTACCACCTACTGCACCACCTACTGCACCAGCAACCTACTGCACCACCTACTGCACCAGCAACCTACTGCACCAGCCACCTACTGCACCAGCAACCTACTGCACCAGCAACCTACTGCACCACCTACTGCACCAGCCACCTACTGCACCAGCCACCTACTGCACCAGCCACCTACTGCACCAGCAACCTACTGCACCACCTACTGCACCAGCCACCTACTGCACCACCTACTGCACCAGCAACCTACTGCACCACCTACTGCACCAGCCACCTACTGCACCACCTACTGCACCAGCCACCTTCTGCACCACCTACTGCACCAGCAACCTACTGCACCAGCAACCTACTGCACCAGCCACCTACTGCACCAGCAACCTACTGCACCACCTACTGCACCAGCCACCTACTGCACCAGCAACCTACTGCACCACCTACTGCACCACCTACTGCACCAGCCACCTACTGCACCACCTACTGCACCAGCAACCTACTGCACCAGCCACCTACTGCACCAGCAACCTACTGCACCACCTACTGCACCAGCCACCTACTGCACCAGCAACTCACTGCACCACCTACTGCACCAGCCACCTACTGCACCACCTACTGCACCAGCAACCTACTGCACCAGCCACCTACTGCACCAGCAACCTACTGCACCACCTACTGCACCAGCAACCTACTGCACCACCTACTGCACCAGCCACCTACTGTAATGCACCAGCCACTTACTGCACCACCTACTGCACCAGCAATCTACTGCACCATCCACTTACTGTACCATCCATCTTCTGCACCAACCACCTACTGCACCCTCCACCCACCTACACCACACAATGCACAGTGGAACCCATCTACAGATGTTGATGCTAAGCTTGGTCAGGACCTGAGCTGGAAGATTTACCAAACATATTTGTAGTGGTAGGAGAAACCGGAGCACTTGGAGGAAACCTACGCAAACTTGAGGAGAACATGCAAACTCTACTCAGAAACGGCCTGTTCCGACTGGGATTCGAACTTTCTTGCTGAGAAGCGAAAGTGCAAACCACTCAGCCAGGGTTAGAGTTAGGATGTGTTGTGTGTGTGTGGTGTTATTGCAGGATGGGTCAAATGCAGAGAACAATTTCCACGCTTCTGTCAGTGTGCCCCAGGGCAGCTGTGGCTACAGAAAGTTTATCACCACCGTGCATGGAGTGAATGAATAATGACATGTGAAGCGTTTTACAAGGGCTATATAAAATCAATGTATAATTATTATCCTTATTATTATTATATGTACCATTTCAAACTGTGTAGTGTTAGTAGATAGTAGTGACGGCGGTAGAGAGCAAGTGGTGAAAAGGTGGTACTGCACCCTAAAATCCCCCCAGAAAGGGGACGGCGCTCTTGAGCAAGTGGTGAAAGGTGTTACTGCACTTTGTTTTTCAAAGAGTTAGCTTCTGTTGGCCTGTGTGTGTGTGATAATGCTTTCACAGTTGTCTAAAGTGTTTTATGATCACGGTGTATTCTAAAACAAGCAGTTAGGTCAATAAACTAATTAATCTACAGGTCCTCCCTGTTAACGACACGTGTATGTGTGTGATAGTGATGAGCGGTAGGGAGGGCGTACTAACAACCAACCAGAATGCTCTGATGTATGTGATGTGTGAATGTGGGGAACCATGACTGAGCTCACCATGTCAATTGATGGGCTGCTAGGCTTTCAGTATACCATGTATGTAAAAGGAAAATTATTTAAAGAGCAGCTTCACAAGAGCTCACAATATACAAGGCTTGAGGAGAGCAATGAAACTCTCTCCTGTGCCTACTTTGACTTAACTGTCACAGCTTTTAAGTAATAAGAGTCACGGAGATGGGCGCAGGGTTCCAACTGGTACAACAGTATAAATGACCCGTGTGAAACTCACCTGATGACAAAGGTTCCGTGGAGCAAAAACACATATATTTTTTGTGTGTGTGTTTATCAATCGTAATTAATGCGTTATACTCCTAACCCTAATCATAAGGTATTAGTCTCTATAGCAATTTAATTATCCAATACAATAAAAATAAGAACCCTATATACCTATATGTACACAGTTTGAAACAGAGTAGGTAGATGTGAAACTAGGGTCCTGGTACATGTTTTCTTTTTACTAGAGATCAAATGATTTAAAGGCGTACATCTCTCAGATATACAATTGTTACCATAAATAGTCATCTTAAAGACTGATTAAACAAACATATTACATACCTTAAACATTATGTACAACATTTTACCAAAACACAAGCCAGTAATTAAACATTATGTACAACATTTTACCAAAACACAAACCATTAATTAAACATTATGTACAACATTTTACCAAAACACAAACCATTAATTAAAATCCAGATTTTCGTATGTAACACTCTCATATTTATTGAGTATAGTAGTTTTGTTGTTTCTTAAAAACCATGATTTTATTTTGACTCTTTAATGTCTTTGTTAAGTTGATTCCTTTCCACTGAGACCATTCTTCCCACGAATGTAGTTCTGAATCTAGGTTTTATTAAAGATGTCAGTTACAGATTGTATCGACATTGTTTTTTTTTTTTCCAAAGTTCTCGTAGATGTTTTGCAATTTACCTTATACAATGTATGATAAATAGTATAATCCACTATAACATACAATTTTAACACCAAGCACTCAAAAACAGGATTTGATGAATCTCGATATATTTTCCTTTTGCTCTTTTTTAACTATAGGCTGTGTTAAACGTTGTCTCCAAATGTTGACAACATAGGTGAGGTCGGTATAATCATTGTAGTATCTAAGGTCAGTAATGCTGAGCGGTGTTTTCGTAGATGTTTACTGCTAATGTTTTGCAATTGACCTTATACAATGTATGATAAATAGTATAATCCACTATAACATACAATTTTAACACCAAGCACTCAAAAACAGGATTTGATGAATCTCGATATATTTTCCTTATGCTCTTTTTATGTAAAATAACTATAGGTAGTGTTAAACGTTGTCTCCAAATGTTGACAACATAGGTGAGGTCGGTATAATCATTGTATTATCTAAGGTCAGTAATGCTGAGTGGTTTGGAAAGTGTAAAACACCAAGTGATTTGGCTAATTTTCCTTATGTACACTGTCTGTGAGATTTACAACTCAGATTCACAACGATGATGACTCCTAAAAATGTTGTTTCTTTTTACCCTTTTGAATTTCCCCCCGTCTAGTCTTATCGATACACTATTTAAGATGTTTTTCTTTATAGCATTGAATAGTATGTATTCGTTTTTCTTTGTTTAGAGCAAAGTCATTTGAACCAACCAGATTTTTATTATGACAAGTTCTTTGTTTATTACTTTTTGATAACTCTCCAACATTTTTTCCCACAACAAAATAATGCTGTGGCACCAGCAAATAAGATTATTTGTAATATAGGTGTCATGTTTACAAGTTTAAAGACATAATTCAATCATTTATACGTTTAAAAATGCAACACGTTCTTAAATGCTATGTAATAAGTTACATTAAAAACAAAGAAATGAAGACAGGGTGAAATCCGCCGCACTCTGATAAAAGTCCTTTAACAGAGAAGGGACCAACGTGCCACTCAAGGACATTCACAGAGTTGTCCTGAACCACTTCTTTGTTATCTTGGCTGTGTGCTTAGGGGCCCAGTGTGATAATAAGCTATAGTTGTTTGTTGTGCTAAAAATATAAGGGGAAACAAAGTAAGACATCAGTTTCCTGGTCGAACAGAGTAAGCGCTCATGTTTGGTTTGTTTTTGTAAAAATCGTTGTTTCATGTGTAGAGCCTTAGCAAACGTTCGTCTTTGTAAGTATTATTTAATCTCATAACCATATTGTTAGGACCCCAAAAGTGTTTTATTCTAATGCAAAGTGTTAAGTTGGCCCTATATCTGAGTAGCTAGCGCTGTACGCAATTCCGTGTGTACAACCGTTGATAGTTTTTCTAGTGTTTCAGTTACGGTGATTTTGTATTCTGTATTTATGGATACAATGAACCATACGCAAGAGATTCTCTATGAAACAAGAAAAGTAAGCCTGTCTACAGTGTTTCTTTCCCGTTCGTTACAGCTTCACATGGTCACGTATCGTGAGGACAGCACAATAGTTGATACTTTTGGAAAGTCATTCATAAAAACAATATTGGTATTGAGTAATTTATTATTTTTAGCTGCACAAACTGTTTACGATTTTCTAGATAACTAGAGATCCATGTATGAGCAACCCTTATGCAGGTCTAGTAAGATACTTACAACATATGTATCTGCATATTTTCTCTGTCAGTTCCATTATTGCCACAGCAGTTGAGTGTTTTTTTCCTAAAGCCATACTCATTTTGAATTAACACATTTACTTTTTGTAAAAAAGCTATCCACTCACATTGCAAATACTTTTTTCAAGATTTTTGAAAACTGTAGCAGCAAAGACACGGGTCTAGAATTTGAGAAGTTGTGTTTGTTTCTGTAAAGAGGTATAATTTGGTTGTTTTCATTTTTTCAGGAAAAGGTTACTGTTTTTAGTGACAAGTTGCAAAGGTATGTAAAAAGGTTCAATTACAGATGCATCATGGCTGAGCCAGAGTCGGTTGTTTACAAATGTATTCACAATTTTTTCATACTTTGTCTTTTTTTTTTTCCATATTGGAAAGAAAAATACTGTTCACAGGATCTACCTTTGTATTTCACTGTAAGATGTAGGCTTTGGAAATTTTCTTTTCTTTCGAGTCTCCTACACGAGTAAAGTATCTACAAAATTCATTTGATATATTTATTTTATTGGATATTTCGGCCTTTAACAAAATAATTTGTGTACTCATGTGTGATTTTTGTTGTTCCTCATGACATTATTAAAAATTCTACAAGTAGCTCGTTCTCATTTAGTGTATCACTGTAAAACTGTTTCTTCTGGTTATCCAGATTTCTAAAACAATGTGTTTACCGTTTTACTGTATGAATATAATATAATCAGAATAGTAAGACAGCATCTGGTGTTAGACAACACCTTGATAAACAGAATTTGTATTATACAAAATGAAAATAGAAGACAAAAGGTACAACAAGCACCCACATACGAAAAATATATAAAAATAACTGATACAATAAAATAAGACCTTCACAGATATGAAGTGACACTTTCCCACAGTGCCACAGATATGTACACTATATTGAATAACATATCATGGAGATATAGGATCACAGTCATTTATAAATAGTCCTCAGCGTCATTTGTTACATTAAGATTTTCTACAATGTCTATGTATGATCCCACATTTGTTTCAAATATTGCTAGCTTTCCTTTTCTAAAACATGTAACTCTTTCAAGGGAAATGCTATCAGCATTTTTATTTTACCCTGAGCATCAGCTTGAACTTTTTTCCACTAAATTGTAATTGTTCTCGTTGCTTGTAAAAGACACATAGCTATCAGTACTTTTTTCATTCTTTGTAAACGCATGTTTTCCTAAATAAAAAGTGTATATCCTTAGATATAGTGGTCTCTATTGCTCCTTTAACCTCAGCACACCCCACACACACAGTGGAGCAATGTCCCTTTACCACTTAGTACATACATCAGGTACATTTACTCCTTTTAACACTTAGTACATACATCAGTACATTTACTCCTTTTACCACCTAGTACATACATCAGTACATTTACTCTTTTAACACCTAGTACATACATCAGTACATTTACTCCTTTTAACACTTAGTACATACATCAGGTACATTTACTCCTTTTAACACTTAGTTCATTGTCAGGCCTCCTCTCTGACAATGTTTAAAGCCAAGTTAAAAACGGTGGTGTTTAGCTGTGCATACAACTGAGGGATTTTATATTTTTATCTTTCGTTTTAATGT